GTAAAGAAATAAAATAAATGTTCATCCACGTACTAATAATATCATTAGACATCAACTCGTAATATAAATATATAATATACATATTGTGGCATTAGTAAATGACACTTAATCATGCCATTATATGGTATTAAGCAAAAGCAGTTTATCACGTAAACATGTTAGGTATGAATTTTTTCCAATTAGAATCCCCCAAACTCGATGAAGTCATAATCGGATGCGATTAGTTAGATGGATAATCGAATACTTATAACATTTGGGGTTAATCGTCTACCTCAAAATCGGTTATTTTTTCGATAACAATTTGATAATGCGATTATACATATATATAGCAATTTATGAATAATAAGTTACTCATCTAGTTATTGAACATGTCTAGTGTAATTAGCAAGTGATGAATGGGATAAGTAGTTATTGACCTAAAATTCATATAGGTAATTATTTCTACATCTAAAAGGACTCAACTCGAAAAATATGTATTTATTTATATATAACCTAACAAAAATATTTTTTTACAACCCTAGCTAATCGCATGAGATAATTTTCTCTTTTCCTATTTGAAAGTAATTTATTTATTTAATTTTTTTTTAATCTTGCACCGACCATCCCGTGTTCAAAACGTGTCCACTTCCATTAATCTGCTCTATTGACGAATATCAATTAAAAATCTCCAAAACATAACAATATAGGTTGACTTTCAAATCTCCTCTTCGTTTGAGAATGAGATGTACGGCTCGCGTTGTAGTGAATGTCGAGTCATCCAATATCAATATATATATTTTATTGATATTAATTATATATAGTTTTTAAATTGAAATATAAGATAAGTATCACACTTATTATATTATATTTTATTGTAGTAATATCAATATAATTCTTGCAAACATAGAATTATTAAAAGAAATAAGGAATTCATATGCTCAACCTAGCTCAATTTGATAAAGCTCGAGCTCAGCTTTAATTGTTCATTAAATTAATGGTCCTAGTTCGACTTGTTAAACTCGAGAATAAGTTTTGTGTAGTTTTTTCTAACTTAGTTTAGCTCGTAAATGTTCGAATTTTCTTTCTAATTGTCAAAAGAATCGAGCTCGACCTGATTTGTTCGGCTCGCTGAAAGCCTAAACTCGAATTAAAAGATTGAATTCGTTGACAACTAATTAATTTATTACAATCACAGCGTGATGTTAAAATATTATGTTGTTCTTAGTTAAAAAAACTTCAATAGAACGTTATAATCAACGTACTATAAAAATCGGCTTAGACGTCAGACGCTAGCGATTTCTATGAATAGGCCTTACAAAATCAGTCAGTCGGCTTCCTAGGTGGGCGGAGTGGCGGGAGGCGCAAGGCGAGTCTCGACGATAATTTTTTAGTTTTTTTAAAATATTAATTTCATTACTTTGTTATCATGTTTTTTATAGTATAGTAATATTATTATTGGACTTAGGTATGTGGATTTATTATAAGTTGCGTAGCCCTCCCGAAGAAGTGCTGTCGATAGTAAATTCAGTGAGAACAATGGAGGCAAAATTGCAAAATAAACTTAATAGCAAACAACAATTTTATCCAGTAAATTTAATATTCTATTCGAATATTATTTGTAAGTTGTCCCACATTTATTCTATAGAGAAAATGAGTTTAGTATATAAGTCTAGTAGGCTACTCCTCCAATCACAATTAATTTTATGATGAAATCTCACTAAAGTGTCTAAGTTCACCCTCTTACCGTGCGCTACATTTGATAGGACAGCACCTTCTTCCCACTATTTTAATATATTCATTGACTCATTAAAATGCAAAATTTTTTAATCAAACAAATGAGCTAATTGACATTTTTCATAAATAGTCGATTGTTTTATCGTAGGTTTTGCATTTTAGAAGTATTCATCTACATTTTTAGTTTTATTTATTTATTTATTTATTTATTTTGGTACAAACATCTACATTTTATTAGTTATTCCTCACTCTTATTTTTTTTAAATGTCATTCTAGTTTTATCAACTATTTCCCAAATAAATGTCGTTTTGGATCTTTTGTACATATTTTTTCATTATTACCTCATTTAGTCAATAAATACATTACGTCTTTTCATATTCACTTTTCAATTTTTCTCAAAACATTCATCTCTATCTTCATTAAATAAGGTTATTATTGACAAAAAAAATATTCTTAATTAACGTGCAACTTCTCAAAACGACATATATTAAAAATAGGAGGTTGCAGATCTTGAGTATTTTTTAAAATTGCAGAAGTTATTGAACTAATTTAACTATTATATATATGTACCCGCCCCAGGCTACTGGATGTTCTCTAACAGATATATTTATAATTCTTCTCACTAGGCTAATGTGAGACCGTCTAATCATACTGTATGAAACTAAATAAATAAAATTATAATATTTAACAATACGAATATATACTTTATTATAAAGTTGAATGGGTATATGAACTCCAATATGTCTGAAATTTTGTGAAAACAACCTCCTTGATAAGATGGGTCCTAGGTCAACCAAAACAAACAAAATGTTGAATAAAAAGTTTATGGTTGAAATATCACTTGTGAGTTGTCCAATATTAGTTCTATAGGAAAATGAGCATAGTTCATAAATCTAGTGGACTACTCATCTCATCACCAATTGGTTTTAACCGCACTATGTGCACCAAAACTCACCTTATGGTGCGCTTCACAAATGTGGAACCGTTCTTCCCCCAATTATATAAATCTAGTATGGTATCAGAGCAGGTCTGATCTAGGACCTGTAATAACTCTCTACTAACTAACTGAGCCTGCTCTAGGACGGTTAGAGAAGCACTCATAAGTGAGATGGCGTGTTGGAATATCACTTGTGAGTTGTCACACATTGATTCTATAGAAAAAATGGGCCTAGTTTATAAGCCTAGTGGGCTACTCCCATCCAATTGGTTGTGGGATGAAATCTCACTATGGTGCACCTGAGTTTACCCTCTTATGGTGCGCTTCACCTATGTAGGACCGCACATTCTTCCCCCGATTCTATAAATCTAATATTTTCTTTTCATAAAAAATGGCTAATTTTATCATAAATAGTTTTACGGAAAGTAATCACTTTAGTCTTGAAATATTAACTAGTATCTGATTATGTACACATGCACATATATATGATTAAATTATCATAAGTTATATATATATATAGTTAGGATCATATGAGAAAGTGTCATAGTGAAAGAAATAAGAATGAATTATAGCAGTTGGATGTGATATATCAATGTTCTAGATGCGGTCAAAGGGTCCAGCTTTAGTTAAACACGCAGTGGCATTACTGTAAATAAGTGGACTTTTGATTTTTCACGCCAAGGTATTTTAGTTACTGCACAAAATAAACTCTAAAGTGCAATATGACAGACATTAATGTGCAATGTGTATATGAATAAAGTGCAGTCTGAAGAATAGTTATTTTTGAAGTGCATATTAAAACGTTATATTGTGCAATACATTAATGTGCAATTATTAAAGTTTTATTAAATTATAAATTTAACTCATAAACTAAATTGTAATATATTAAAAACTTGTAAAATTGCAATTAAGTCCTTAGGACTTCATCAAATTTTCAAAAATCACCAATCCCCAAATCAAATTTCCTCAATTTTCGGACATCAACCGCAAGGTCCGTAACTGTGTTTCCGGCGGATCCAGCCGGACAGCAAGCAAAGGCAATCGGATGACGTTGATTTCGCAATTGATGACTCGACTTCAATTTCGACGGTTCGGAGAAGCCGCGCGGGCCGGCGAGGGCAGCCCGACCGATTAGATTTGCAGGATGAAGACGGTCCGTCGATTATATTTTCTGGTTGCCGATAAAGACGATTGAGAAGTCCTCGATTACCAGGTTGCTTGGACGGGACAGGCGGCAGCGGCACAGGCGGAGGCGGAAGTCTCTTTAGCTCCTCCCTCGTCTTTTCCCTGCGATTTGTGCAGGTAGGGTCTCTCTGGCCGGCAGTGGCGTAGCAAGGCTGTGGCGGCAGACCAACACGGTGGCGGGACTGGCTGGCGGCGAGTGGCTGGTGGGTGGTGGGTGGTGAAGATCTGACCGGCAGAAGGATTTGTTGAGGTCGGGCGTGGATGGGTGTGGGGGAGATGATGGGGGTAGGGCCCACTGGATGTGTAATTGTGCAATGTCTAATTTATCCTTATGTGATGGAAGTAATCTCTAATTTATCCCTAATCAATATAACTGTTTTAGCATTTTTTTAATATAATCAAATTTAATGGCTAACATACATTTTTACCTGCTCGTTCTGAAACCCAACCCTATATATAAAATTAAAAAAACATAAGTTAGATAATAATATCACATTTTGCAAATTTTGTCGGTAAAAATGAACATTAGAAAAGTATTATTATTATTATTTATGAAATTTCAAGATGTTTGGTTATACCACTAAAGTCAGTTAAAAATTTTAACCTGTTTGGTCAACATTCCTTAAAAATCGAATTATCCTGATTTTCATCAGTTAAAATTATTTTGATTTGATTATTTTGATTTGATTATTGTCTAGATATTGTAATTAGAGTAAAGAAATGATTAATGCTAGTCAATAACGATTTTAGACATGAAAGTGTCACATAAGTATAATTAACGGTTTTGCTATGGAGCAATCGGATGGCTCGATTTATGGATTCATCCATAGTTATTTAAAAAAAAAAACGAACTATTTCTAAAATTTAGGTCATATATATCTTTTAAAATTTATTTTCCCACCCAAATAATTTAATTCACTCTAACACAACACCCCACTCCACCCCACCCACCTATGTGGCACTATACTATGTGGTGATCTCTTACTATATATAACAACACATAATAAACTCACAAAACCCGCAACAAATCCTATATGCTTATCTTGTAACAATACAACAACACGAGAACAAACTTGTTGGCAGCTTGTTTTTTTCCCTCTCTCACGACCCGCCAAACATGATCGTTTTCAAAAAAATCGAGGAAAATTATAAGGTTTTCTTTCCCATGTGGCGCCGTTTTTTGTCGTGCGTTAAGGGAACAAATGGTCGGAAAGCGATCCACAGCATGAAAGTCGGGCTTGCTCTCGTAATCGTGTCGCTTTTGTACATTGTGAATCCGATGTTTGAGGAAGTCGGACAAAACGGAATGTGGGCTGTTATGACTGTTGTGGTCATGTTCGAGTTCTACGCAGGTTAATTAATTTGATAATTTCACTCTTTAGTCTTTATATATTTTTATCAATTATTTACTACCTGATTAAATATTACATTAAGAAATTAAAAATAAATAAATAAATAAATAAATTGCTTTGATTATAAATGCAGGTGCGACACTTGGAAAAGGCATAAACCGTATAATTGGGACACTAACTGGTGGGATATTAGGCTGTTTGGCCGCCATTTTAGGAGACGAAATTGGAGGCATTGGCAAAGATATCATTATTGGGTCTGCCGTTTTTATCTTAGGTAATATAATCATCAACTTTGTGGAGTTTGAATCATATTTCAAATAATGGTGATGATATTCGAGTCAAGTCGAGTCGAGCCCAATCGAGTAATTTCTCGTTTTGAGCTCGTGAAAGTTCTGTTTGGTCCATTTAATAAACTTAAAACTTAAAACGAAATGTTCGCGAACAAGTTTGACTCGACTCGACTCTTAATAAGTAAAACTCAATTAGTTGTTCGAGAGTTCATCAGCTCATTTAAGTAACTGAGTTGTGTTTACGACCCGTTGATTTTATCAAATGATGCATATTGTACCTTTTGAAATCAACATGAAACCAAAATGCTAATATAGTAGCCTCATGGATTTGTTCATTTTTCAATTAATTCAATAGTTGAAATGAAATAAATATAAAATTAAGAATGCTCTAATTAATATATCTACAATATATATTTTGTTAGGTGCTGGTGTAACATATTGTAGATTGGTCCCTAGGCTAAAGAGAAGGTATGACTATGGATTCATGATCTTCATCATGTCCTTTAGCTTGGTGGCGATTTCCGGCATCCGGGTCGACAAGGTGGCGGAAGTCGGCCGGGACCGTATAGCCACAATCGGGATCGGTTTTGCCGTCTGCATATTCGTGAGCTTGGTCGTGTGTCCTATTTGGGCAAGCGACGAGCTTCACCTCTCGACGGCACACAAGTTCGATAAACTCTCGACTAGCATCCAAGGTGGTTCAAATGTCATGCTTTAACATATAATACGAATGCACTAATTGTTTAGAGAAAAATAGTTTATGTGTGTGACATGAGTTTTATTTTTTTGGTGATTTATAGGGTGCCTTGATGAATATTTCAAAATAGCAAGTGAGAAGGAAAATCAAGGGGCTATTGGCGGTGATTATTATATCCAAGCTTGCACGGCCGTTCTCAATTCCAAATCCAATGATGAATTACTGGTTAGTTACCAAATACTATTCACTTTTACTTTTACGAGTCGGTCTAACTGTTAGGCGGACTGATCTGTCACATTTTTAAAAATACATTATTATGCTATGAAATATCATACTAAAATTATTTTTTAGAATATGGTATTTCAGTTTGAAAATACATATTTATTTAATATAAGAATGGTTAGTTATGTCTAACATAAACCTTATTAAATAATATTAATATGACTTATTTTGTTGGTTAAATATTTTGCTTCATAAATAAAGGAATACTAGTAGTCTTCATTTTTACCAAAACCATTTTGCAAATTTGTACTCTGATATTTGGGCTTGGTTGAAAATAAAAATATCATATATATGGCTTGAAAATATTGAAGAAAGTTAATAGTTTTCAATTTTTTATTTTTTTTTTTTTAATAAATTGGTAGGCAAATCATGCAAAATGGGAACCTTGGCATGGGAAATTTGGATTGAGCCATCCATGGGCAAAATATTTGGAGGTTGGAGATCATCTAAGTGAACTTGCTGCAACAATTTTTGCCTTACAAATATGCCTTCAATCATCAAAGCAGGTATATAATCAAATCCATCAAATTCGATTTATACAGTTAACTTAATTTGGTCATGCAGTAGCACTTTTTCGACAAAAATACATACACGAGTCAAAATCGGTTTACACAATTAATTTAATTTGGCCGAATATACTTTTTTACTTGGGTCAAAATCGGTTTATACAGTTAACTTAATTTGGTTATGCAGTAATATATATATATTTACGAAAAAAGCGTATTTTTTTGTGATGAAATGTCGTACTTATATACATTAACTTTTCTTGATGACATTTTTACCCCTCCTATCTCAGCCATCACCCATGCAAAGGCAAATACTCAAGGAACCATGTGAGACTTTCATGCTAACAACTCAATGGATATTGAAAGAGCTTGGAGAGAGCATTGAAAAAATGGA